CCCCTAGATACCCACTGTCTGAATCTGAATCTGAATCGTAAAGTTGTTTATCTTTTTTTGGAGTCTACAAAGTCTACAAAAGTACACGTCACCCCACTTGTGAAGGAAAAATAAACACTGCCTATCAGTATACTAATACACATTATTAAATTGACATTTACGGACAGATATGTCTCTTTATATAATAGTTTCATCAACAGCAATATCTTTATTTTGTCAATGATTATCATCAACAACATCAATTGCATCTTACCACTATCTAAATTGAACACACCTACAGTAGGCTTATTATCAATGAGTCAGAGCCCAAATTTCTGGTGCAGTATAGACCTGCTATTTCCTCGGATAATTCGCGGAAACAAAAGAAATGAAACCAAAAATTATGTACATACGTCAGAATGAAAAATAGAGGAAGCATCCAATGATAATGCTTTCCGTAGCATAATAATAGCAAATGCGCATGAGTTGTGTCTTTTGTATGTAATTAAATAACACTTGCTGAGAATACTAATTTCTCAGCAATTCAGTAACTTCTCTTTGTCTGTTGACTGGCTATGCAATCAACTTAAATTTATCGTTCGTCGAAAAATCTAGATATAATGTGAAGGAATTTCCTGTAATAATTATTTCATTGGCAAATTAGAAAAATTTGGAGAGTGATTCAGGGATAAAGGCGCCGTGATCATTATTTGACGCCAAGATTGTCAGCAAAATTATAAACTGCCTGGGCTAAACATCCTTCTGCAAATAACTAAAATGAAATAATGAATTTTCCAGCAATTTAACTCATCTGTAGTGCAACTTCGTGTTCTGTTATGCAGGCAACGTCCTTCTAATTAGTCTAACCTCATCCGGTCTTCAGGAGCTTAGTTGCTATTCCATAAATTATATTGTTGAACACGGCCTACATTTTAACCACGCCACTAGTACCAAAAAATAGTAATGTCATAAAATGCTTTCAGTTGGACCTTATATCGCAAATTTTTAGTAATAACCCGCTTTACAGTATCCCGTGTCATTCACATCTGTCTAAGTGTTACTTTAATAATGGACTTTTTTGTTAAGGGTACGTCTTTCTAGTGTTATTAATTAATGTTCTTACACTGATAAGTTTTCCCTGATTTTATTTTAAATATTGTAAACATGTTAAGTTGCATGTTAAAGATAACTTTTGTTTAAATCATAGTATCTGTGATAGTCTTCAATATAGGCCTAATTATTTTATATATTAACGATTTTTGATAGTACTGTATTTATAATTTATTATTACCATCTTTTGTAATGCTTTCGTATCGTTCTATCGTTCTTGATACGCTGTTTTGTACCTTTTTACTTCTCCCTCGGCAAGTTTTACAGAAATAAATAAAAATAAATAAACAAATATTATTTGCTAAGGAATCATAACGATTGAAATGGTATTTATTGAAATTAGCTTTTTAAAGCATGGATGGGGGTATGTACTTTATAGTATGGATTTAAGTTGGATTACGAAATTAATAAACACGATCAAATTAGTCATAAATTGTATTATACCTGTAGTAGGCCTAATACACATGCTATACTAATAACGAATTCCTCATAATAATGTGCGTGAGAAGGAGCCCTTTAAAGCTATGGTGTTATTGCAATTTCATGTAATAAATCAATAATGGTTTTTGTATGAATTTTGGAAACTTGTTTTGCAATAAAATAAATGAATCTACCTTATGTAGATTACGCCGAATACTGTAATATAGGCCCTATTATGGTTAATGAAATATCTTGTGTAAGCTATTTCAGCCCTTAATGGAATAGTTTCAATAATATGTCGTATATGACCCAGTCATATATTCAGTGGCAGATTCAAGGGGGAGCTGCCTCCCCACCACCATTGTTAATTTTTTTTTTTTAATTGAGATATAAAGAAAATTATATTCAAATTGTAAGTCTGAAATTGCAATTTCCAGCCATCTAGAGGTGCCATATCACAAATTGTCTTACCTCAGCCCCAACCATGGTGGGGCTGAGGTGGTATATAGATCCTCTCTGTGAAAGTACCTCCCCTGGCCCCCTCTATTTTGAATTCCTGGATTGGATCCACCACTGATAGCCACAGGCCATAGGACTTGTATACAGTACAAAAGTCATTGATTCTAAACTGATAGATGCCAACACCTTATAACCGAATTCACTGTACGAATGAAAGTTATTTGGTCTAGGCCTACTATGGGTATAGAGCTGTTTAAGTCTGTTATCACTAAAATCGCTGCACTTTCGAAACAGAGTTTTCACAGCAAACGTAGCTTTATCCGATGGTCCATTGTTGTGAGGGAGGGGTGATAGAGATATCTGCCGTGCCTCCTCTTAAATTGCGGCAGACAATTCCTAGATCCGAATATTGGTTTCTGTTTCGCCGTCTGATGAGCTAAATTTGGATCCATAAAAGGAATGAAGGACATTATAAACTGTAATGTATGCCTGTATACTTCGTGGTATCAAGCTTGATTGTTCATCTACAGATCATGCTTGAGATGCAGATTTGAGGCAAATATGGGTACGTGCGTCCAGTACTAGATCTCGGGACTGATGATATACATAATCGAAAACCAGAAAATGTGAAACAATAACGGCAACTTACCAATAAATTTAGCTTGTTGGTTGAATACCTGTTCTCCTCTTGGTCTCATACTACGGATGTCTCGCCTTGTTGTATGATATCCGATCTGAGCTTTGGGTATAGCGAATGCTTATTATTCATTCAACGATATAATACGCATGTGCGAGACAAGCATAAAATTTCCCCCAATGAAAACTCACAACCGGGATTGGTTTAGCAGTGACTGGCGTATTTATTTTTTACCCAGTCAGCAGCATGCTGACTGAGTTCTGTTTCTGAGCAGTTTCTTACCCAGTCAGCAGCATGCTGACTGGGTTCTGTTTCTGAGCAGTTTCTTCTTACCCAGTCAGCAGCATGCTGACTGGGTTCTGTTTCCGAGCAGTTTCTTCTTTACCCAGTCAGCAGCATGCTGACTACTGACTGGGTTCTGTTTCTAAGCAGTTTCTTTCTTTGTTTCTGGCAACATTAAAAGGCTACTAGTGGCAAACTACTGTGCCGATTTAATTAAAACTTGGTAAGTAGGATCAGTGCCACTTCGCATTTCACAACTTGGGGTCAAAGGTAACATAAGGGGCATTGGGTCAAAAAACCCATAAAACCGTATAAAAGACTACTTCTCTCACAAATAACGTAGCACAGTCTTGTCCTTTGCACATATACATTGGCATAAGGCAGAGTCTATAGGGTGTTCAGGGATAGGGGGTCAAATGTCATTAAGGGGTAATTTTATTTTTTTTCTGGAAACATTTCAAAACGCTACTAGTGCCAAACGATTGTGCCGATTTCAACCAAACCTGGTCAGTATAACCGGTGACACCTCTCATACACGGGGTGTTTACTACTTGGGGTCAAAGGTCACATAAGGGTCATTAGGGTAAAAAACTTTTTTTAAAAAATGAATAAAAGACTTTTGTCACAAATAACATACACAGTCTTGTCCTGGACACATGTGTATTAGCATAAGGTAGGGTCTATATGGTGTTCAGCGATTTAGTCAAATGCCATTAAAGGGTTATTCTTTTGTTCTATCTGGTAACATTTCAAAATGCTACTATGGCACACGATTGGACCAAATTCAATTAAATTTGGTCATTAAGAACCAGCAACACCTTCTACATCCCTGTCTGGGATCAGGGGTCACATAGGGGTCATCGGGGTTAAACTTTCAAAATAGCCCAATTGAGCTCAAATTTACCAGGAATGATCCTTAGGACCTTCTAAACACAAACAAATACTCTTCACCTCATAGGTCAAAGTTCATAGGTCAAAGGTTCAAAATGTTACTAATGGCAAACGATTGAACGGAATTCAAACAAATTTGATCATTAAGAACCAGTGACACCTCTAACACCCCAGTCTGGGATCTGGAGTTACCTAGGGGTCAAATTTTCAAAATAGCCCAATTCAGCTCGAATTTACCAGGAATGATCCTTAGGACCTTCTAAAAAAAAAAAAAAAAAAAAATACTCTTCGCCTATAGGTCAAAAGTCACAAGGGTAATTTTGGTGAAAATTATCAAAGGAGACCTAGACAAACTGTGTTCTTGGTCGCACTTATGGGGTATGGTGTTGAACCCTAAGAAGTGCAATACCATGACCATCACTTTAAATAAAAACAAAATTAATTATATTTATTTAGTTGATGACAATCCTATTAATAAGGTGCAGCATCATCGTTATCTCGGTATTATTTTAGATTGTTCTCTCACATTTTCTTTTCACGTTGAAAGTCTTCTTAAAAGGTGCAATAGGCTGCTTGGGCTGATGTGGCGCAATTGCACATACCTGGATACTCATTCTAAGATTCATCTCTACCTCACTCTTATTCAACCCAAATTAGATTTCTGTTCTATTATTTTTAATTCATTCTCAAAAACTCAGGCCTCGCGCATTGAGCGGCTTCTTTCCAGGTTTTTGCGCTACATCAGCCACAACCAGACCATTGAGAATAATTTAAATAATGACATTATTATCCTATAAGGATTATAAACTTTCTATATTTTCACCTCTGTCCCGCAGATATCTTAAAGATCTTATTTTTCTATTTAAATGTATGCATTCCATTTGTGATTGTAATTTAGTTTCTTGTTTTGGCTTCCTTGTTCCTGTTCGTAATTTAAGAAATAACAATGTTTTTAATATTCCTTTTAGTAGAGTTAATGTTTAAAAAAAAAAGGTTTATTAGTAGATTAAGTATATCCACGCTCCACTGTGTACTGCCTGATGCCAACTTGTTCTGTCAATTACTAATGATTCAAATTTGGATGGATGGATGTTGAAGCAATTCATATCTCTTTTACATGTGTCTCTGAAGCGTAGCTTTGGACGTCCAACTGGTCTTGTCCCTTCTTCTAATTCCCCATATAGGAAATCCTTGGTGATTCTACCATCTTTCCATTCTACAGAGGTGGCCTAGCCATCTCAATTTTCTTTGTTTCAGAATTGCAAACAGACTTGGTACACCAGAGAGGTTAAGAACTACCTCTTTGGTAATCTTGTCCTTCCAACTAATATTTAGTATGCGGCGGAGACATCGTAGATGGAATGCATTTAACTTTCTTTCCTGAGTTGTGTACAATGACCACGTCTCACTGCCATATAGTAAGATACTTAACACACATGCAACATATATTTGAACTCAGTGGCGTAGAAAAATATTTTTCATTGGGGGGATGATTGGCGTGTTAGCCAGTGTCGTAACAGGCGCGGGGGGGGGGCAGGGGGAAAACTTCCCCTCCCCTGACGGTTTTTACCGGGTCGACCAAGCCGTCGTACCGGGCTGGGTAATAACAGAAAAGATAGAGGGGAGAGGGAGGGAAAGAGAAAGAAGAGGAAAAGAAAGGGAAAGAAAAATAGAAGAGAAAAGTAACTTAAGACAAGAATAAAAAGGAAGATATCATAATGACCAGACTCACAACACCCATGCAACCCCTTCTCCACTTCAAAAACTGTCATAACTTCTTTGATCTATGCTGCCCGATGGCGTAACCACTGGGGGACAAGGAGAAAATATCTATCTTTGAAAAATCTTCCCCACACCCCCCCCCCCCCCCTTTCATC